ACCTAGACCTTCAGACATATGTCTGTATATGCCCCAACAGACCTACATGATAATGTTCTTAATAGCCCCAAACCGAAAACAGCCCAAATGTCTACCAAGAAAATGGACTGGGGGGAAAAAAACCTGTGATAATTCATATAATGGAATACCATATAGCAATGAAAATAAGTCAACTACAGCAGCATCATAGGTAAATATTAAGAACAATGTTGAATAGGGGCGCCTGGGTGTCTCAGTTGGTTAAGGACCTGCCTTCCACTCAGGTCATGATCTCAGGGTCCTGGGATCCAGCCCACATAGGGCTCCCTGCTCAGCGGGGAGTCTGCTTCTCCCTCTGCCCCCCACCCCCCACAGCTTGTGCTCTCTCTCTGCTCTCAAATGAATAAATAAAATCTTAGAATAAAAACAATGTTGAATAAAAACTAGATACAAAAAGAAAGAGGTGGGTGATTTCATTATATAAAGTTAAAAAATATAAAAAGGTAAACCATTACTTGCAAAAAAAAAAACAGTAAACACTAAGTTACTGCCATGAACCATGAAAAAACAAATACACAAGTAATAATAGCAGGGAAATAATCTCAGATACAGAGGGGAAATATATTTTGTTTAAAAAACTGCAAGATAAGGACACCTGAGTGGCTCAGTCGGTTAAGTGTCCAACTCTTGATTTTGGCTCAGGTCATGATCTCAGTGTCCTGGGATCGAGCCCTGAGATTCTCCTCTCCCTTTCCCCATAGCTCATGCACGTGTTCTAAAATTAATAAATAAATCTTAAAAACACTGCGAGATAAATTTGCCAAACTCTACAAATAAATCTGAAAACCTGGAGGATTTTTTTTTTAGAGAGAAAGAGAGAGCAAGTGCACATGCAACTGGGGGGGGTGGGGAATAGAGGGGGAGAGAGAATCTTAAGCAGGCTCCACACCCAGTTCAGAGCCCCATGCAGTACTTGATCTCACAACGCTGAGATCATGACCTGAGCCGAAATCAAGTGTCAGACTCTTAACCCACTGAGCCACCCAGGAGGCCCCCCAAACCGGAATGATTTTCATGAGAAAATATTAAATACGCAAACCGACTCCAGAAGAGATAGAAAATCAAGGTACCCTCATTACAGTACAAGATATACACAAAGTTGCAAAAAGCCATCCCACATCAAAGTACCTAGTTCATGTGTCATTTCTTTTACAAAGAGTGACTGCCATTACATCAACTTTCTCCTTTATGCATCCCTATGCCTTATATATACCTCTATTATAGCCACCCCATTGCCTTACAACCATTTGTGTCTTTCACTCCTTAAAGAGGGACAATGCCTATGTTACGTTAGAATCTTCCACTCCAACCATGTGCCTAGCACAGAGCAGGTACCCGAACAATATTTGCTTAATGAAGGCACACATGGTCCAGCATTTCACAAGGTTCTGGATACCTAATAATCTCTGTGATTCTCAGAATTTCATAAATGTCTATTCACTTTTCATTTTTAAAAATATTTTAATAAACAATTTCAAACGTGAAAAATAGTGAACAGTAGTATAATGAACCCCAGTGCACCCATCATCCCACTTCAATAATAATCAACATTTGGCCAATCCTATTCTTTTATCTCCCACTACCACCACTGGATTATTCTTTCTTTCTTTTTTTAAAGATTCTATTTATTTATTTATTTGAGGGGCCCATGTGTGGCTCAGTCGGTTGAGCATTAAGGCAGATGCTGAGCCACCCAGGCGCCCCACCACTGGATTATTATGAAGCAAATCCCAGACATCACTTTATTTCATCTGTAGATAAAGTATATAAACCTATTTCACAGTGAAAAGTTCTAAGCAGAGAGAAATTATTTTCCATCAAATCAGTGAAAAAGAAAATAATCATAGGAAACATAAATCAAAAGAGAACTTTGTATTTTTAAATGAAGAAACTTACTTGCTTTTTAATATAAAAAAGGAAGCTTTTATTCAATTAATTTAATAAACATGTATTTCAAATTTTCAGATCACAGTCAATTAAATAAAGTTCTTTATTTACAAAGGTAAAAAAGTACCTCCGCAATGGAGAAGTCTGCCAGGCATCACTTTAATCAAATGATCAAACAGGTCATCATCAATAATGTGACAAAAAGACATGCACTGAGGACACATCATTTACACAGTATTCTTGTCAAAAATGCTTAAACTTTAATCAAAAGCTGAAAATCAGACACAAAGGCATTCTGCCAAAAAAAAAAAAAAAGGCTTGGACACCTGTAAAATGCCAATGCATAAAAGACAAAAGGCTGGAGTACCTCTCTAGATTAAAGGAAACTAAAAAGACATGACAAGTAAATGCAATGAGTGATCCTTCTTTAGACCCTGTATTTAAAGAAAAAAAAAAGCTCTAAATACAGAACCTTATTAAGACAAATATGAAAACTTCAATATTGGCTATATACTAGATAATACTGCACTATTACATATATATGTAAAAAAATTATATTTTGTCTATGTAGCAGAATGTTCTTTTTTTTTTAGACACATACCCAAGTATTGAAGGGTGAAGTGCTTTGATGTCTGCAAAGAAAAAAGGTTATATATATGTGGTAGATGCCCCCCAAAGATGTCTACATCCTAATCCCTAGAACCTATGACTATGCTCTCTTACGTGATAAAAGGGAATTTGCAGGTGTGATTAAGGATCTTAAAATGAGAAAATTATTCTGGGCTACCTACATGTGCCAAGGTAATCACAAAGATCCTTATAAGGAGTAGTTAGGAAGGACAGTCAAGAGTAGGAGATATAACCATAGAAGCAGAGGTCAGAGTGATTTAAAAAAAAAAAAAAAAAGATTCTAGAGACTGGAAAAGGCAAGGAACAGATTTTCCTCTTGAGCTCCACAAAGAACACACTACTTGCATCTTGATTTTAGCGCTGTAAGATTCATTGTGAATATCTGACTTCCAGAACTGTAAGATAATAAATTGGTATTGTTTCAGACCACTAAGTCTGTGGTAATTCTTTATGGCAGCAATAAGAAACTGCTTTATGTGGAGAAAAACAAATGTGGCAAAGAAAGGTTAACAACTGGTGAATATAGATGAAGAATGTGTTTATTGTATCATTCTTTCAATTTCTGTCAGTTTGAAATTTTTCAAAATAAGTTGCAGGAAAAAAAAGAGAGAGAAACTCTTCATAAGCAATAATAAAGAGACAAAAGAATAATCCCAAAAAGGGGGGCGGTGAAGAAAAAGAAAAAGTCAAGTAGTATAGAATCTTAGAATTATAGGGGGTGTACCTGAGTAACCCAAGAGTTCCATCTTCTAACAGATGTGGGAATCAAGGTACAGGAAGCCTAAGTGCAACTTGAACCCAGATCATGACTTCCAGGGTTTTCGGAGTACGTCAAACTACCTCCCAGAAGAGACAGATGCACAAAAAGCAACAGTAAAACGTTTCAAAGGAGAAGGATTCAAATAAGGAACAGGGAGGGAAAGCAGCAGGTATCCCAAGGATGAAGAGGTGGAGGCTGGCTAGGATGTGAGGTGTGCATCCTCAGCACGGGGAAAGCAGCTTGCACTTAAACCAGAAGCCGCTGGTACTTGGAAGACACCACAGGGACTTAGGTGCGCACGACAGGAGCAGTGCAGAGAGCAGGGCCCGGTGAGCATGTGCCAAGCATCCCACCAAGGGCAGTAACCTGGGCAAATGAAGTTTTTCTTCTAAGAGGTGACTTTCCCTTGGCCAATGCCCAACAATCATTTACACAGTACTCAAAGTTATTTCTGTTTATCAACTTTTTTCCCTAGAGCAATCTGGGCAGGGAGAAAAGGGAAGGGAGTATTTTGACCCATGTAAATGGCGACCATAAGTTTCAGTTTATACCTATACTGGCATAATTATTAATTTTATGGTCAGGAAGTTTCTAAGAGATGAGTTTTGGGCAGTTAGAGGAGAGGAGCAGACAGAGAGGAGAGAGAAGGCACCCATTACCACTGGTGCTCAGTGTCTGAGAGCAGTCACCGACTGAGTGTCCTCTCCTCTGCTTCCAACTCAGGGGCTAAGCCCCATTCCCACATGAGCCCAGAAACACATAAAACCACCTTTAATCTGACTGTGGTCACTCCGGTCTTTGAGTAACAAATGTTACTTGTTTATCCTCAAATGTACATTAGCGCTTGGCTTAAAAGCCTGCTGGTATCTGGCAAACAGTACACTTCTTTTCAAAATCTGATGTGAAGTTTTGAAGTTAATAATTGATTTTCACATGGCATACTGAATGTTTTATATGTATGCGAGAGATGGCTGAAGTTTCAAAAGTCCACATTCCTGAATGATCCATAGACACCCCAGAATTCTATCCAAAGTTGCTATCCTCAATGCTCACAAAAACAATTAACACTCTCCTACCCTACCTCTCTGGCTCCCAACATCCCAGAAATGACCAGAATCTGCCTCCCTTAAAGTCAGCTGAGGCCTGTCTGGCCTTCTTTCTAGAGTCTAAAAGAAGCAATATGAATGAAGAGGAAAGAAAGGAAATATGAAGCAGGCAGACAGATACGGTGGAGGACTTACTGCCATCACCAGGTGGAACACTGAGCTCAATTTATCCTGAAGAAAACTGCTAAAAAAGAAAAGTTAGGTATTTGAAAAACCATTCCTCCTCTCTGAGCTCTGGCTTCCTTTAAAAGGAATTTGTATTTTAATAGCTCTACAATCCTTCCCAGCAACAAAATCTGATGATGGGTAAAACAGGATTTTAATTGGGTGGACCTAGAAATCAAATCACCACAGAAGAATGTTTTCCAAGGTTTTCTGAACCCGAACTATAAGTATGTAGACCGCATCTGAACAATTCATCCCCTCTGCAAGGAAAATTGTAAGTTAGTTGAAGACAGTTCATGTTCCCTGCCTGCTTATTTTTTGAAAAGTACTTCAAGTAACAACAACAACAACAAAAATAATGCAAAAAAAAAAAAAAAAAAAAAAGGCAAAGAAACCGCAAAAGTAATACTTACCTTTGCATCATCTATGTCAAAAACATCACACCAGGGAGATTTAACACCTTTAATTGCCAGGTCAAATGAACAGGTAAAAAAAGCTACCTGAATTAAATCTGGGGGGGGGAAAAAGAAAGGTAAAATTTGTGAGTCACTGTTCTCCATAATCTTCCAAAGACTAAATAGCTACAGAATGCCACATGCAGTATGGTCCAAGGATCTTGGTAGGTTCAGCACAGAGAAAAGATGATTCGGCTTTTTCTTATCAGAGAATTAAGAGCCACTCTGTACAATCCAAACAGGCAGACCTGGAGCTGTCAGGAAGAAACCATGAGGAGGTAGAAATTTCAGTCCAATGAAACTAAGACATTTAACTGGTAACTAAAAGTTACAATTTTTTCTGGTTTTAAAAGTAATGTGCTTGTTAAGAGCACATTTACCTACCAAATCCAACAGAGTTTAACCCAAAACTTGCTAAACGTAACTTGATTTTGTTCATTTTAGAGGGCTGGAGGAGGGAAGTTATAAAAGCTTTTAGTCCCCATCTGAAAATGAGGAATAACAAAGTACATTTACTGAACAGTTCTCTTAACGACACAACACTTCATGTTCTAACTATTAGGCAGGAGTACAGAGAGAAGGATACAAAAACAGAGCGAGGACTGCAGAAGGTGGAGAGGGGGCAGAGTAAATCGGGGGTGAGGAGGGAGGGGAAACCTAGGGCCAAGAAGGAGAGAAACAAAGAGGGAAAAATCACAGACTGGAGAGAGAGAGCGTGCTTACAGCATCCGTTTTTTTCAGACTTAGTTGCTCAGGCAGGCAGCAGATTTCAGATTAAGTTACCTGGCATTTTTACATTGCGAATGAGCTGATTATATTACCTTTAGATACCCCTGGGTTTTGAAGAGAAGGGTAGGGCACCAAGTCCCTGGCTAGGAGAGCTGGCCGTGCTATCTGGTCACAGGCATGTGGCTGCTACTCAATGCTACAGAGAAAAAGGAAGCCACTGCGGGGCTTTTTACCTTCAGTGTCTTTCCTCGTTCCCAAGGAACCAGGATGGAGTTTAAAGAACTTCCCTAAGGCCGTATATAGTACAAAAAGAATATTTAATTGAGAACACACATAAAAGCCATTTAAAAACTTTGCTTGAGGGGTACCTGGGTGGCTCAGATGGTTAAGCATCTGCTGTTGGCTCAGGTCATGATCCCGGAGTCCTGAGATCGAGCCCCGCATCGATCTCAGCAGGAAGCCTGCTTCTCCTTCTCCCACTCCCCCTGCTTGTGTTCCCTCTCACTGTGTATCTCTCTGGCAAATAAATAAATAAAATCTTAAAAAAAATAAAATAAAATAAAAAAATAAAAACTTTGCTTGAATAAATGAAAGGGTTGATAATCCTAATACCTAACATAATACAGTGACTTCTAAATACCATGGATGTTTGATGAAAAGAACCTGTCTCATTCACACTCAAAGTTCTAGTTCTGAAACAACGAAAGTCAATCCTAATGGTCTATTCTTTAACTGGAAGGAGGCTGACAGAAAAATTTCACCAAAAAACACTTCAGAGGACGACAGGCTTTGAGACCTAACTCAGCCACTAATCATCCAGAGCAGGTGGCTCCAGCCTCTTGGGTCTCAATCTTCCCACCTGCAAAACAGGTGGAACTCTCAAGAGGAGTTAAGCCCTGACCCGCCTATTATGACCATGCTGACTTCTTGGCCAGTCTTTTGGAACCTCAAAAATATTTCAGATAGATCAAAGATTTAAACATTAAAAAACTGGGCGCCTGGGTGGCTCAGTCATTAAGCGTCTGCCTTGGGCTCAGGTCATGATCCCAGGGTCCTGGGATCAAGCCCTGCATCGGGCTCCCGCTCAGCAGGAAGCCTGCTTCTCCCCCTCCCACTCCTCCTGCTTGTGTTTCCTCTCCCACTGTCTCTGTCAAATAAATAAATAAAATCTTCAAAAAAAAAAAAATAAATGAACATTAAAAAACCAAGATAAAGGAAGACGTAAGAAAATAGAATAATCTTGGAGTCAGAGAGGATTCCTAGGCAAAAGACAACACTGAACCGCCAAGATGAAGACAGACGTGGCTATATGAAAGACATAATGGGTACAAAGACATCTAAACCTAAAAAGTGAGCAACTAATTAACAGAAAATGTCAGCAATATACAATAAGCAAAGGATTTATCCTTTGTCAAGCAAAGTTAAAGGATATATAATTAATATATCTATAACACATAAAGAGCAAGAAAAACATAAAAATAATCTGATAGAAATGGACAAGATAAGGAAGAGGCAAACCCCAGAAGGAATGCAAGTAGCTAGCAGACACAGGAAGACATGCTCATCTTCACAAGTGACTAAAGAAATGCAAATTAAAGCTAAATACCATTTTTCATTAATCAAATTGGCAAAAAATCAAAATGACTAATAACAGCCACTGTTGGGTAAGACAGGGGAAAATGAGCATTCTCATATATTGTTGATATAAATTTCTACACTTTCAGAGAGCAATTTGGAAGTATATGTCAAGGTGTAAAATATTCATTGTCCTTAACCCAACAATTCCACCTACAGTTATTCACCTTATAAATTCTCAAGGGCAAAACCAGATTATAAAAATGTTCACCGCAGCATCATTTGAAAGGGTGAAAAACTAAGAAAAACCTCAGTAGGAAAATGATTTCCTACAAAAAAAATTTGCACTGTATTAGTTCCAGTCCCCTCCACCAGTAAAATCTGATGGGTTAAATAAGTTTTTAACTATCACTGACCTAGAACCTGAATCATATATCCTATGAAATCACACAGAATTCAAAAAAAACGAGACAGATTTACATGAGAAAGATATACTGCTAAGTAAAAATGAGTTACAGTAAATACATATATCATCATCCCTCTATGTTAAAAACAAAAGGATTTAAATAGCTACAGTAGTTTTGAGCTGTTACTCTGCCAGGCATTGTACTAATGCTCTGCATGAATTAATTTCATATAATCCTTGCAATAATCCTAAAAGAAAGGTAAAATTCCTATACCCATTTTATACAGAAAGAAACTATGGCCTAGAACTCTTAATTAACTTGTAAAGACCACAGAGGTAATCAACAGTATAACAGAGTCAAGATTCAAATACAAACAGTCCATTTCCAGAACCCATGATTTTAACCACTATACTTATATTGCCCCCAAAAAGAAGTTGCTCTCAGTTACCCCATCAGTAAAACACAAATAATCCGAGACTAAAAATCGTTTTTTAAAAAATCTTCAACAGGGGTGCCTGAGTGGCTTAGTTGTTAAGCATTTGCCTTTGGCTCAGGTCATGATCCTCGCGTCCTGGGATCGAGCACCATGTCGGACTTTCTGCTCAGCAGGGAGTCTGCTTCCCCCTCTCCCACTCCCCCTGCCTGTGTTCCCACTCTTGCTGTGTCTCTCTGTCAAATAAAAAATCTTTAAAAAAAAAAAAAATCTTCAACAGTCTAATGCCCCGCTAACCAATAATAGCTAGATACTGGTATAGTTATATAAAGGAATTTGGTACATAAAGTTTAAAATGTAGGACTAAAATCACACACATTAAATAAAAAATAAAAAGTTGAGGGGCCCCTGGGTGGCTCAGTGGACTAAGTGTCTGCCTTCGGCTCATGGTCACGATCCTGGGATCCAGTCCTGTGCGTCGGGCTCCCTGCTCTGCTTCTCCCTCTGCCCTTCCCTCTGCTTGCACGCGCGCATATTATCAAATTTCAGACTGAAATCATAGATAGCATTCATAAAAGTTTTAAAACCTGCAAAACAATATCCTATTTATGTACAGAAACATAAATATAAAAACTGACATGGGATGATTTAAATGCTCAATTCATGGGGCACCTGGGTGGCTCAGTTGTTAAGCGTCTGCCTTCAGCTCAGGTCATGATCCCAGGGTCCTGGGATCGAGCCCCACATCGGGCTCCCTGCTCCGCGGGAAGCCTGCTTCTCCCTCTCCCACTCCCCCTGCTTGTGTTCCCTCTTTCGCTGTGTCTCTCTCTGTCAAATAAATAAATAAAATCTTTAAAAATAAATAAATAAATAAATAAAAATAAATGTTCAATTCATGACAATGACTACAGCTGGGAAGAAAAGAAGAGAAATAAAATCCCGGAGAGGCACCGAGGGACCTCAATTCATTTAAAGCAACTAATCGCAGCATGTTAAAATTTGATAAAACTGAGTTGTGGGTATATGGACATTCATTCATTATATCAGCCTTATTATTATCTATAGGCTTAAATTACTTCCCACTAAAATCATTTTTTTTAAAGATTTTATTTTTAAGTAATCTCCATACCCAACGTGGACTCACAGCCTTGAGATCAAGAGTCACCTACTCTATCAACTGAACTAGCCAGGCGCCCCTAAAATAAATAATTTTTAAAGCTCTGTAGATGGCCACAATGTTTAGCCACTTTGGGGAAAGAGAAAAAATTCAATTTTAAATGCTTGTCCAGGGGCGCCTGGGTGGCTCAGTTGGTTAGGCGACTGCCTTCGGCTCAGGTCATGATCCTGGAGTCCCGGGATCGAGTCCCGCATCGGGCTCCCTGCTCGGCAGGGAGTCTGCTTCTCCCTCTGACCCTCCTCCCTCTCATGCTCTCTGTCTCTCATTCTCTCTGTCTCAAATAAATAAATAAAATCTTTAAAATAAATAAATAAATAAATAAATAAATGCTTGTCCAGGCATCTTCACTTTTTTGATGCTTATAAAGCATTCAGGTTCCATGACTCTAGTCTATTATTTTCCCACCATCTCCTACTTCTAGCTTTTTGGAAATTTATTCACAATATAAGAAATCCACAGTCTTTGTATGTATGTTTGTCAACATTTGCTGTATGAATTATGAATTCTTAGAAATCAGAGAAAAATCCCATTACTTTTTCTACATTTCCTGTTGGTAGGTGAGCATGTGCCCTGGCTTCCCACCTGCTTTCCCAGCATAGTTATTAATAGTGCCCCCTTTCACCGCCTGGTGTACCGGGCTGCATGACAAAGTGCAACAGGCAGCCTGTCCACCGCAATAACTTTTGACAGACACAAGTGTTCATTCTTTTTAGCATCTCTAGGCTTAAAAGCCTCAAAGAAAATACCCACACTACTTTGCTTTTTTCACTAATACCCCCTCCTCAAAACATTAACACATACACACTTCTGAATGGCTTCAAAAGCTAAAAAATTTTATATAATTTTCTACTTTTATCATTTTATGAGGAAATAATTCAAAAAATACAATTTATATAAATAATGCTTAGAGTTGAAGCTTTATATACCTCTGCTCTCAAAAAAAAAAAAAAAAAGATTCCAGGATATAGCAAGAATCCTGTACATTAATTTACATAAGGCTCAAAGAAGTATATGAATCTCAAAACAGTAAGCATGAGGATGCCTGGGTGGCTCAGACAGTTAAGTGTCTGCCTTTGGCTTGGGTCGTGATCCTGGGGTCCTGGGATCGAGCCCCACATCAGGCTCCCTGCTCAGCAGGGAGCCTGTTTCTCCTTCTCCTTCTGCCTGCCGCTCCCCCTGCTTGTACTCTCTCTCTAATAAAAAAATTTTTTAAATCTTAAAAAAAAAAAAAAAACAGTAAGCATGAGATACACAATTTTCTTGACCTAGAACATATTATTTTCTTAATGTAAAATCAATTGTGGGCCTTTAAAAGGAATTACTTTATGCTTCCATATTTTCTCATTTTCAGAGTTTGAGAATCATTTAAATTATTTCAGAGTTCGAATGAAAGATAATGGGCACATTACCTGCATTTAAATTGTTGACTGGCACTTGCAAAGTAGCTGCAACCTTTTTTAAAATGTTCTGCATTTCTGGTCCAGTTTTGAAGGCTTCTACATGATAAAGAGCCGTAGCACTCTTTTCCACTTCAGTTAAAAACTTCTCACAATGATCAAAGAACCTCATTAGTTTATCATTAATTCTTGGAGGTCCACACTCCATGTCTGAAACAGATAAAAAATTGTTTATACACATATATATATATATATACACACACATACCATCAACATGAATGATAATCTCAGATTACTGAAAATTTTGTTTCAAGGGTGAAAAAGAACACTAAAAACCTGCTTATTTATTGGCATGTCTGAAATAAGCACAAACTAATCAAGAAAGACAGGGCAAAACTATTCCCCATTTGTAATGATGGTAATTCATGAGAGTATATGCTAGAAAAGACTAAAGAAAGAGACTCAGAGATAAGATGTTACGGCATTACAACACAGTGAAAAAAAAGGTGGTTGAAATAAGTATTTTCTGAAAGAAAACAAAAATAATTAGACATGAAAATCCTAAGAAGTGCAGAAATGTGTTTTGTAAGTACCGTTTGTCAGGCACAGAAAACTTGAGAAAGCAAACTGAAAACTAGCAAAGTTCCTAACTACAATGTTGAGAGACTAATTCAGCAGATCAAATCTGTTTTTCTCCTCTAAGCCAAAGTCTACATAGTGTATTTTATTTTCTCTATTAACTTTCCCAACGCTGTGTTTCTTTACAAAAGACTGCTTTGGACAAAAACTATTGACAACAGCACAAAACATCAACATTTCAGATCTTCTGTATTTCATGGTGCTTGGTGCTTCTGCTTTTGGTTTATTTTATAACTGAAGCTCCCAGATGCTTTCCACTTAGAATCACTAAGTTCCATTTTTTTCCCAATTTGGCAGCAAATATGTATTATAAAAGATCTGCAATCATGCCTCAACTACTGGGGTGCCTTTTAAGTTTTTTCAGTCATATTCAAAACACATCAATTTCAATCATTTCTCCAATAATTTACCACGAAAAGAACACCAAAAACACTACTGCTGTATACAAAATGAGAAAATCAAATCGGTCAAAGTAGTTTTGCTTTCCATGTGGGTGTGAAAAAACGTATTTGTATGTATGTGTGCGTGTCCATTTCAGGACCTCCTGAAATGTATAATCGTGCCCAACGTCACTGCCAACCGGATTACAGTAAAACAGCTTGACTCGGAAAATAAGTGACCTTTGTCCTCTCTCTGTGGCCTCAAATACAATTTCCCAAGTGGATCTGGATTCTTCGTCCTTACTATTAACTCATTATTGCTACTCTTCAAATAGAAACAAAGGTATTGGGTGCCTGGGTGGCTCCGTTGGTTAAGCGACTGCCTTCAGCTCAGGTCATGATCCTGGAGTCCCGGGATCGAGTCCCGCATCGGGCTCCCTGCTCGGCAGGGAGTCTGCTTCTCCCTCAGACCCTCCCCCCTCTCATGTGCTCTCTCTCATTCTCTCTCAAATAAATAAATAAAATCTTTAAAAAAAAAAAAAGGGGGGGGGGGCGCCTGGGTGGCTCAGCCGGTTAAGCGGCTGCCTTTGGCTCAGGTCACGATCCCAGGGTCCTGGGATCGAGCCCCGCATTGGGCTCCCTGCTCAGCGGGGAGCCTGCTTCCCCCTCTCCCTCTGCCTGTCTCTCTGCCTACTTGTTCTCTCTCTCTGTCAGATAAATAAATAAAATCTTAAAAAAAAAAAAAAAGGTATTGTCCTTTTGCTGTTAAGAATACAAAATCTAATTCAGTGGAGTCCCTTGAAAGCCCAGGTGTACACAACAGGCAATTATAATTATTTATATATATTTATTTATATATATATTTATATATATATATATAAAGAGAGAGAGAGACTATAATGAAATAGCTAGGCAAAGAGCTCAATCTCTAAGACCTCATCCCAGGAGGGCCAGTAGCCCCTTTTTGGTATACACTATAAACACTGTGCCATGGCGAAGTATATTCTGCTTTGAATGTTCACTTAATTTAACAGATTTGTGGGGAATTTTCACTTAATCACTAAAAAGCACAATTCAACGAGTAAACAAGTCAGCCAAGAGAACCACCCACATAGCAGTAACATGACACACAATCAACAGAACAACCTCTTGGAGATGACTGAACTGCGTTAAGAGAGGATGCTACTGGAAAAATGACAAACCAGTCTACTTCTAATTTATTTTTCACTTGGGTTTAAAGCTAAACAATGTCTCACCTCATCTCTGATCTGAAAACTGGCCAACAAAATATTAACACTTGCTCATCTCTCTGACACAAACCTGTTATATTATTTTCATCCTTACTTCTAAGTTACAGAGTGAATGGACGCTGCAGAGTATAAGGGTTGAGAGACCAAGCTCTAAATCAGATTTCCTGGGTCCGTACCTAGCCATATGAAATTAGGTAGATTATTTAGTGTTCCTATCATTCAATTTCCTCATCTGTTAGGTAGGGGGAAAATACTACCAACCTCAGAGGGCTTTTGTAAGGATTTAGTGAAATAAATGTCAGGCATGCCTGGCACAAAACCATACAGCAGGCGTTAGGTGTCTGTTATTCTTAGTTATCTGTGACTATTAAACGTTTTCTGAGGGTGGGACATGGATTCCAGGCCTGACTCTGGTCCTCACACTAACCAAGGACAATTAACAAGGCACATTCCCGGGCTCAGCTTCTTCACCTGTGGAGTACAGGGCCCCACTAGATGATCTCTCCAATTCTGCAAAAGTAATGGAATAAATTAGGCAAGTACTGAGTGTGACCGTGACCCACAGCGACAGGGAGGGTAAGTCTACAGTATATACAAGATCAAAACAGAGAAAAAAGCACAGCAGTAAAGAAAGTTTGAGAGTCGCTTCCTGAAACAGGATGTGGGCCCAGAACCAATACGTCATTTAAAAAAAATAAAAGTCGGTCTCCTCTCCTGTCGGGTCCCCCAACGCTCGCTACCACGTCCAGCCCCTGGAAGGGGCCCACTGCGTCCCTGATGAACCGACAGAGGAGTATGCGCGGGGACAAGGGAGACACACCGCCCAGCCCCGAACGCGCGCCACGGGATGGGCACCCGGGGGACGGAAGGAGTGAGGGGCGACCGAGCCAGGGACCCTGCCCGCGGCGGCCCCGGGCCGGCACCTGCGACGTCGGGCGGCGGCAGGCCCGGGTGGTAGTGCTGCCACAGCCCCTGCAGGAAGGCGGCGCCGCTGTCCACGCAACGATGTTTGGAGCTGGTGACCAGCTGCAGGCGGCCGTAGTTCTCGAGGCTGAAGAGAGCCGGAAAGAGGGAGGCCAGGCGCAGCGCCAACTGTCGCATGTCCTGCCGCCCCTTCTCCACCAGCTGCCCGTCCATCCAGTCCGCGTACCCCAGCGGCCAGTCGGCCAGCGCGGCGCCCAGGTCGCGGCCGCCCGCGGGGCCAGCGCGCCCGTCGCCGGACCGGCGGGCCTGCAGCAGGCCGTGCAGCTGCCGCAGCTTGCGGATCTGCTTGGCCGTAGGGTAGCGGGTGCCGTGGCGGATGAGGGCGACCAGCTGCACCGGGGTGCAGGTGTCCTCCAGCAGCTCAGGGTCCCTTTGCGGCGCCTCGGGGTCCGGCAGCAGCCCGGGGTTGGCATCCTCGTAGCGGGTCTTGGTGCCGAAGTAGGGGCTGAGCGCCGAGACCGCGGGGTGCTCCGGCTCCAGGAAGGAGCAGCGCGAGAGCGACGAGAGCAGCGCCACAGCCAGGGCCGCGACCGGTGCCACGGAGACCTTGACGAGGCGCTCGGGGCCGCGGAGCATGGTGCGGCGCAGCCCTCGGAGGGCGACGTACCGGCCGCGGTTGCGACTTCCGGCTCCGGCGGGCAGGGGGCGGGCCCGGACGGCGCTTCCGGCCTGGCTCTGCGCCCCCAGGATTCGCTGCGCGGCGCGGGGGCGGCGCGGGCGCTGAGCAGGGGAGCGCCCGGAGACTCTCGCCTCCCGCTCGGGTGGCGCCGGCACGAAACGCCGGGGAGCTTCGGAGACCTGTGGCTGAGGTGGAACGGGCGTCGGCGGGGCCTCCCGCGTGGGCGAGCTTCTTAGGGCAGGTGCCTCCGGGGCTGACTCAGCCGCTGCTCTGCTCTTTCGGATGCTCCGGGCGGGAATGAGCCCGCGTCTCGGAGACCCGCCGCACGGGACACCTTACAATGGCTGACTCGGGCCCCGCCCCGTTCACCGGCGGTGTTGAAAACGTGTTCTCCGAACCACCAGGGCGCCTGAGGCTGTTGTTCACAGAGTAGGTCCCCGGGCCCTGCCCCAGTTTGCCTCCCGAAGTCCAAACCTGTTCCCTGGTTGGAGTTTGATAATAGCGTGCAGCCAGGCGCACCAGAACCGGAGAGAGGCTCTGTTCTCCAGGAAACCCAATTCCCGAGCCTTCGGTAGTGTCTGGACCTGGGCTAGCGGAGCTGACTGAGCTCAGCGCCACGACACCCCGGAAGGACTGTGCGTGTTGGCATCCGAGGCTTTCAGAGTAGAGACAGCACAACCTTGATCACTTGTGATGAATCATAGCCCGTGATTGACGGCATTATTAAGTATGAGCTAATCTGCTATATGGAGCAAACATGGTCTCTGTTTACCACCACTCCAAGCTGAAACTCCGCTCGCGTGTAATTACATACTCAAGTCAGCAGCTACGTGTTGTCATAGGTTAGTGCTCAGAATCTTTGATCCAAGGGAAAAAATCATAAATCTGAACAATACGTTGGTTTCTCCACTTGACCACCAATTTGTACACTAGTTGGGAAAAGAATAAAGATTAAAGAAGGTATCTGTTTTTGTAATGGAGCTTTTCCTTCAAAGACACTACTAAATTGCTCTTGGTAAGCCCATCTCCATCTTAACTACTTTTCACCTTGTTGAGGTGGCTCTGGTTCAGAGAGGTGTACCTCTAAATGTTAACCACTGAACAAAATGGTGTAAAATCAAGAATAGATTCCAACTTGGACACTGCAAATTTTAAGATATTCTGTAGCAGGAAGCCATCTTTTTGTTCTTTTTTCGAGATGCCACTTTGTAGAGTGAATATTCACAGTTCGGTGATATTTTCACAGAACTTTGCTCAAATTAATATTTGGTGAACATCTACCTTTCCTTTATGGACTTTCCTAACCCTACATTTTATAGGCTGAAATGCCTGATGATATTCCGAAGTGCATTCAGCAAGCATTTGTGCCAGTTGCATGTCGTTATATTTTGCTTAATATATGTGCCTAATAATGATCACCTCTCATGCTTGATCTTTTGTATCCTCAGGAGGTACCGGGTCTTCCCAAAGGCACCATCCTTCCTAATGAAGTAACCTTTAGAGACCCTGTCTACCTACGTACGTAATCAATGACACACATTCCTACAAACTAAATTTGCCCTTAGCTTGATTTTTTTTTCCTTCCTCTCATTCCTCATCTGTTAATGTTATGCTGTTTTGTATATTTATTAAACCAGTTCCAGTCATTTTGTTGTTATGGCCAAGATGACAAATGATAAGGTTAAGCAATGCCTTCATGTTTTTCACTAGGAAAAAGCCAGAGGTAGTATAAAGAGGATATAAAGGTATTATAAAGAGTATATAAGCCTTGGATCCAGATGCCAGGCTCTGCCAGTCATTAACTGAGTGACCTTAGGAAGTAACTCAGGTTCTCTGTGCCTTAGTTTCCTATTTGAAAACTAGGAATATTAGCACCTACGTTGCGAAATTACTGTGAGAATCACAGATGACATTTAAAATTCATATAATAGGCTGCTATGAGTGGTATTTTTTATCAATTATGTTTCAGTAATATTATGTTATTCCTGTGCTAAGATTCATAGCTCTCTAGCAACTACACTGTATAAACTTCCACTGAACATTAAAATTACTTTCACAAGCAAGACATGCATCAAAGATCATTTCTTAACTTTTCTAATAATAAAAATCCACTCATCTTCCTTAAAATGAGTTTCTCATTCTTAAAGCAGTGAGTAGCTTTGAGACGTTTTAAGTAGTAGGCAACAGGCCCTGCTCATCTTTTCATGTCAGGCCATGTCTTAATTCTCTGGCCACTCTGTCAGTTGGCGCCCTTTTAGGTAGTTGCCTACCTTGTCCAATCAGCTAGTACCCAGGAGTTTGCATGGTATAAAACATTGTTGTGTCTTGGTAAAGACCATGGATGGATCGCTTTTCCTCATGTGAGGTTGTGAGCATGATAGCAAATATATTTGACAAATCTAAGACAACATGAGAGGTAGAATGGAAAATTAGTGGTTCAGATTCCTTGAAGAGATGAGAACATGGAACCAAGAGCACAGAGAATTTGATTTGGACCAGAACAAAAGGAGACCTTATTTTTCTGAGAGAAGGTTGGAGGGATGGAATCACATGTAGATACATTTGTTGGTCTAGCAGAAGGGAATTCATGGATTCCCTTGAATCCAGGAATCCTTGAATCCCAGAATAGGATTTAGGTCTTTGGAATGTAGAAATGGATTGGATTTAGAACTGAGAAATAGGAAAGGATTTGCAACTGAGAGGAATGGGAAACAAGTAAAAAGTTGGTTGGCCAGCTCTGGGGATCCAACAGAGAATGAAAGACTTGAATTGCTAGTGGTTGTGTAATTTTATCCAGAAGTGAACATTATCTGTTGTGTCCGTTGGAGTGGAAAAGAAAAAAGTTGAGTTCTATTCTACATTATTCTAATTTGTCTTAAGTAGAACTTTTCTAATCAATCCACTATATTAAAGAATACGGTATTTTTGCTAGATTATTTATTCACAGGACTTCTAAAATAATTGTTCCATTCTTAAGATTGCATGGTGTCAAATACAGTATTTTAAGTTACAGATATCTATAATATTTTTTTCAATGTTACTAAAGAAGAGGCTTTCTGGTGAAGAAACAATAAAGAAAGGAAAGGCTAAATGCTTTGGGGGATAGGGTAGGCTGTCTATGTAAGCATAGAATATATTGATTAAAAACATGGTTCTGAAGTTAGACTTTCTGGTTCTCAAATTCCAGCTTCATCACTTAATATCTGTGAGATCTTGAGCAAGTTAAACTGTTGCCTCAATTTGTTTTCATCTATAAATTGGGGATAATACCTATGTTATGCAGTTGTTGATAAGATTAAGTGAGGCAGTTTACATAAAGACTTTATATAGTTCCTGGCCCCTAATCAATTTGTAACTTTTACTGAACATAATTAAAATGTTTCTTGTTACTGCTTTTCCTTTAACCAAGTAAACTGACAATGGCCAGTTTGTCATAGATATTTGTTATCTTACAACTACATTAAGCAACTAACTTTGTGCCTACACCAAGAAAGTTTTAACTCTAGTATCTTACTGCCCTGCTGTTTCATCTTTCCTTTCCTGGTTATTGATTTAGTGCTTATTTGTTCTTTATTGCTGTAGAAACAACCACCAGAAGAAGGGTCCATGTGTATGGACAGGGCTGGAGTGATCCATGCTTCAACATCAGTCCATTCAACCCTGCTTGAATGCAGAGGTTGCATAGATCACCAGAATCCATGGATAAGATACTACATTGTTCCCCAGCATATAAAAGCCAAGCTGAATTGTTTAACGTTGTGTTTCAGTTGATGAGTAGAACTTCACTGAACCGTGCACAATGATGGAGGTGACTTGCTTTTTTACATTCTCTGTTTTACCTTGCTAAGGGAGTTATTTTGCAGTGACAAAGATTCTCTTCTAGTGTCTCGACACATCCTAGGACTTTGATGTGAATTCTTCCCTCCCATCAAATGTTGGTTCTAAATCCATTGAACTATTTTGGAAACCGGATACAATGTTTAAATTGCCAGTATTCTTGCTGTGCTTTGCTACTTCCATTTAATAGGAGGAAACTGTAGCTATTCACTTTCTCCTCCTGTTCTGTAATGATTTTCCTGTACATGCCAGTACTGTTGCTCAGCGGCATAATTTCCTCCAGAAGTCTGCTCCGAAAGATCTTGTTATCCCATCACAAAGATGAATAATGGGTTCTAAATCTCGGGAAAAAAATTTCTCTTCTTCCCTGTATTTTTCAAGAACAAGCATAGACAATAGCAATTGTTTAAACGTCTTATTTTTTCTGAAATGTTTTCCAAAATTGGAAAATCTCTTTGAGCAATTTGACCTTTAAGACAATGGGTTAGCTGACTTTAAAGCCATCAGTATTTCCTTATTCCCAAGAACAGAGAACTTTCAGAGAGAAGTTATTCATTAGCTCTTTATCAGAAAGAACGTTTTTTACTTAGTACATTAATGTCAATTTCATGTTGTCTCCCTAGCCCATGCATGAAACAGTCTTTCAGTTTTTGTTCACTATTTTTATTATTTATTTATTTATTTATTTGACAGAGAGAGAGAGAGAGGGAGAAAGAAAGGACAAGCAGGGGGAGCGGCAGGCAGAGGAAGAGGGAGAAGCAGGCTCCCTGCTGATCAGAGAGCCCCAACATGGGGCTTGATCCCAGGACCCTGGGATCATGACCTGGGCCGAAGGCAGACACTTAATCAACTGAGCCACCCAGGCACCCCTGTTTACTATTTTCTTGTAACATAAATCCATCTTTCTTGGGTTGAGTTACTTGCCTATATTGTATATCAGTAAGTATTAAAATCCAACATTACCTAAGCTAGAAAAGCAATGTTGGCATCTGTTAGCAGTTGCTGCTAACTCATTCTTAGTTAATACCTTAGATGCAAGAGCCATGGTGAAAACTTTTTTGATACTTAAATATCCACCCCTTACATCAAGTAGACTGTCAGGAATTACTTGTTAAAAGGGTGTATGTATGAATGAATAAATGAGATAGAACAAACAGTGTGGGAACATAAAATGTGGAAATAATATTGCTGTGTATTTATGCAACATAATTATTTTACCTTCCCAGTTATCCTATGACCTATGAAGAACAGTATTTATATCATGTTGTGGATGTGGAAATCAAAGAGAGGTTAGATGCCTTGCCAAAATCATTTCATCTAACAAGTACTTAGTACAACCAGTTCTAGAATATGATAAGTGGAAAGAGAGCTATCTTTGTGTTTCTTTTCCTGATACCTACCTATTCCTGACAAATGAACAGTGACCTCAAAAAGTATCATTTGTAGATGGGGCTAAAAGGATAAATATTGCACATAATACTATAGCAGTTATATTAGTTAACCCATTCAACATTTATTCTCCCTTTTTTCTTGGAATCAGTGTGTATGTATTCACCTCTCAGGAAGGTCACTCTGTCCCCACTTAAGGAAAAAGTCCTGATTGGTTTAAACCAATCCTGGTAATTATATTTTTCTTGCCAGTTTTGGTTTAGGAAAGAGCATGTAACTAAATTCTAGTCACAGAGATAGGAGGGGCAGTCTACTTAGCAGTTTCTGAGAAAGTTTTTTTGGTTCTAAGAAAGACAAATGATAGGGTGATAAACAGTCAACACATTATAGGATGAGTGAATCAGAGATCCTAATGACTCGAAGAAATATTGCAGTTGGCACAGTTAAATATTCTGGAAGGGAAGGAGTTGGTATTCAGTGAATGAAATGCCTCAAATGGATATTTCAAAGAT